TTAAAGTGCACCTACACCCAAAAAATTTTTTTCGCTTAACGAAGTAAGCTTATTTTTTTGAGTATTTCTGCGCAAAAATTTTTTTATTTGCTCAAATCTTCAATTTTCTATGCCCAGTCAAAATACGGAAAATCGGCCGCCATCTTGCCCCACGACCGAGTTTAAAGAGGAATGGCTCTAGTGGGTAATGTGACGTCAAATCGAGAACACGAAAGTCTGCATCTCACACATTTTCACTTGTTTGGGAAGATTGTCGTCGATATTGTCCGAAATATGCCGACTAGGTGTGTTGTATGAAGAATGTATGAAGCGCGATACCCTCTTGCAAATTTCGCACGTTGCTACATCCTTCTACAACACACTTAGTCGGCATATTTTCGGACAATTATCGACTACAACCTTCCCAAACAAGTGAAAATGTGTGAAATGCAGACTTTCGTGTTCTCGATTTGACGTCACATTACCCACTAGAGCCATTCCTCTTTAAACTCGGTCGTGGGGCAAGATGGCGGCCGATTTTCCGTATTTTGACTGGGCATAGAAAATTGAAGATTTGAGCAAATAAAAAAATTTTTGCGCAGAAATACTGAAAAAAATAAGCTTACTTCGTTAAGCGAAAAAAATTTTTTGGGTGTAGGTGCACTTTAAGGACTAAGCGCATGTGATTCCGCCGACGCTTTCGATCTCGTCACGATTTCGCCACGTCACGTTTTCGTCCGCGATATCCGTATCGGGAGAAGCCGCTGAAACAACATGGCTCCAGGAAATTATGGGGATTGTACAATCGTCGCTTCGTTTTACTACAATTATCCACGGGAGCTTTGAGTTTTCTTTTAAAAAAAGCCCTTTTACCTTGGAATTTCAAATGCCGAGGGGACAAAAGGTTAGTCGACTGCTGGCGACCAGTTCTAAAATTCTGGTCGCCAACACCTAATTTTTGGTCGCATTGGCAACCAGTCAGTCGCAATTTCGGACCCTGATTTGGCTTTAAACATACGTGACACTCATGACTTCTCTTTATACAGCACAATTATGTGCAATGAGTGACATTGCTTTTAACTGAGAAAATAAAAAATTAATTTCTTAAAGCTGCAATGTCATTATCTTTTCATTTAAATGTAATGAATTGAAAATAATAATGGCATCTGAATTATAGAAAGTGGTTGTTTGCACAAGAACTGTGATAATGCAGGAAATGCTCTCATAGATTTCCTCATCAGTTAAATTATAGACAATAACCCACTTTTTTTTCTTTACTGAAGGCCAAAAAGATGGCAAGACGGTTGCCACCTCCCCGAACATTGTCTGGTATGATGAATTAGTATCTTGTGTGTCTGATAAGTCAATTATGTAAGCAATGGATGAATTTTACCGTGTTTACAGAGGCTCATCTAAACAGGGGCCCTTGAAAAATCAATCTAACCTAACCCCAATCTAACCCTAACCTAACCCTAACCTAACCCTAACCTAGCCCTAACCTAACCCTAGGGTTTAGATAAATGATTTCATCAGTCTGACTCAGCGGTAGGCATTCGAGGGAATGAACCGTTTGAGTACCGATTTGTAATATGTAGATCTGCATGGTAGTATCTCGACCGGGAAACGCTGATTGCACCTGGCTAGGTTAATGTTTATTCTATGACCAATGCAAGTGTATGGGCGGCCTTTACCTCCAAAAATACAAGGATATCAAATAGATCAGTAAATACAAAGATGGTTTAAGGATCAGCTGCTGGATAGCTTAGCTAATAAAGGATGGCATGGCTAAATTATAGACATTCTAGTGTTCCTTCCTGAAACAGAACACCCTAAACATAAATAGTTTAGCCAAATGATAAATGTCTAGCTGCCCATGTTGAGTTGGAACATGAAATTGTGAAGTGGACCAGCTAAATTGCGAATAGTCTAGCACCCATTTGCAATACAGTACACAAACGGTGTAGCGTTGCGTCAAATGACTCAGGGTAGTAAGGAGTCGTACAGCGTACGCACAAACTGTGTAGCTTTGGGTGAAATGGTTCAGCATAATGTCGAATGGTACAGCGTACATAAAAACAACGTAGCTTTGCATGAAAAGGCTCAGCGTAAAGTGGAATGGTACAGCGTACACGCCAATGGTGTAGCGTTGTGCGAAATGGCTCAGCATAATATCAAAAGGTACGGCTTAATGTCAAATGGTACAGCGTACATACAAACGGCGTAGCGTTGCGTGAAATAGCTCAGCTATTAGTTCTTATTCAGGTCAGGTTCCTCAAAGATACAAAATTGCTAAAAGGCAGTGGCGAAGTATTGCAAAACTGAACACAAATTGTACTTATCAGGCCCGCAATTTCGGATCAATAGTTTGTTAAAAGGTAACAATATTTGTCCTTTGTGGCGATATGCGCCAAGCAGGAAGAAAATATCTGCAGGCAGTGCTACAATGTTTCGACCCAGCTAAGAATGAGTGGGAAGAAAAGGCAACAACCTGTTACCCTCACTTTGAATCCAGGCTTTTCGAAGTAAATGGCAAACTTTGTGTTGCTGGGGGCTGTTGTGGTATATTTAACGGCCTTCCATATGGAGGCCCAGCACCCGTAGAGATTTTTAACGAAAATACCAACACCTGGTCTGTTGTTGAGCAAAAACATATTTCCGCCAATAACCTCAATGCAGTGGAAATAGAAGGGAGGTTGTACTATATCATAAATAATTTTCCAGTTGACAGTGGGATAAGGATTCCACCAGGGGAGCTGTATCCTGTTCCGCTGGGTGAGTGGGGAAATTTAGGAAACATTGACCAATCAGCAGCTCTTTCCTATTTGCCTCTAAAGAAAGAAT